ATAAAGACGAGATTGTCGAAACGTCAGGCGAATAAAAGTATTCCACCATTAAAAAACCTGTATGGCGCAGAAGCATTGACGAATAATAGTACAGATGCCCAGGTTTAAAGAAAGGCAAACATGGAAATAAGAAAACTTTTGCAGAAAAGTCCAGCAAATATTGAAACTTCCCACATGTTGCTGGGAGCAGCAGGGAAAGGTTGATGATCCAGGGATATCGCATATCATCGAGGCAGGGGTCTACGGCTTCAAGATATCTGCTACAGACAACAGCTCAACCCGGATTTACCCAGTCAATGCGTTTCCTCTACATTTGTAAGGGCCGTCACCCAAATGGGGAGATTTAAAAAACAGTTCAGCAACGAAACTGAAAGAATAGGTAGTGTAGCTGGATTATTCCAAAAGACTAGCACCTTCCTCAAGAAATCGGTATAGTTAAGAACAGAACTGTCCGACTGAATCCAACCTACCGGTGAGACTATGTCGAGCTCCTGCTTATCGTACACTCCATCGACGATGATAGGCCGATCAACGGCTTCACCAAGCATTGGACCAATCTGAAGAAAACCATTCATATTCAAATTTCCGGCCACAAATCGATTCCACATCACCTATTCTCCAAAGCTACACGGGCATTCCCAGTTTTGCTCCCATTCTTGAGTCACACTAAACTCCCGCTTCATTTTGAGCAGGTACCAGTACTGTAAGAACAACTCACTGATATAACGGGAATACGTCAAGAGATGAGGCACTGGCGCAAAGCGATTGCCAGGGACGCGCCCGCGGGGCGGATCAATATTGGCGCCGTCCGTGCGTGTTGGCGTCTCTGCTGAGGGTCCTGCAACAATTCGATCCATCTGCCGTCCGCACAGTGGGGAGGCATGTGGTTGTCGCCCCTGTTTTTTGTCGCTTTTATCATCCCTTAGATTGTCCGATTGTAGCTGTTTTCCGTTTTATTCGGTTGTGGAAATCTGAAGGAGTAGGGTGTATTGAGTGCAATAATCTTTTCAGAAATGACCGCTTGCCTTCCGCCAAATCTGTTGGCGTTGTTTGAGGCGAGACCACCAATTCCGTATCTTCCGCCACCAACGGATTTACTGATTGATAAAAAAGAGAAAGGAAAAGTTGTTGAAATCACCGGAATCGCTGAATATGTTGGCCTTTTTGAGGTGAGTGGTGTTAAGGAAACCTTGTTTTCGAGGTCTCTATTTTAGCATTATTCTGAACTTGTTAAAGTTTCAAATAGTGCGGGAAGTATCATGTCATTTTCAATAGGTTTGGATGAAGTTGGACTATTTCAAATGCGCAGATATAGCTTGGCTCAAGTACCGCATCCCACAAATGGGATCCATTTGGGGGATGCGGTACTTGAGCCAAGCTATCTCTGCGCTGGACTGCTGCCGCTCACCGATAGTGTTTCGAGAAGTTGCTTGTCGAGAAGTTGCTTGTAGGACGAAAGTCTTCCACCAAACTTATCTTCGGTTGCGCTGTTTTCTAGAGTTTACTAACATAATTGAAAGTAAAAATTTAGTTTTGTGGAAGGGCTCTAGGCGCAGGTACTGAGCACCAGGAACAGTTGCCGACTTTCCTTTTATTAAGAGGCGGTTGTAGACAAAAGAAGCAGTTTCTATTCTGTGTCTTAGGTGAGGACGAACACCGTGTGGGTGAGATCACCTCTAGCAAAAGCTGGGATGGGGTAGGAACTAAGGTAGGAATCAAACATTCACTTGACTCACCCACCCTCTTGAGGCGGGGGTGAAAAACTATGTTTCCATGGCTAAGAAACCGTCCTGAAAACAATAATGTATCATAGGGAGATTCCACTATTCCTTCTCTACGCTGTAGCGCTTACTGTTGGAGGCAAGGGTGCCCTCCCCTTCCTCCTCAACTACATTTCACCTAGAAAATTTTCTCAATCCATTGGTTGAAAAAGCCGATTCAACGGCTCCACAGAAGTTGGCATCCGATGTCAGCGTAGCTGTGAAGGAATGAAGTTTAGACCCAAAAATCTGTTTGAAAACGTACTTGATGAAACTGATGGTGGTGAGCTGCTCTCTCGTCGCACAAGGTGCTCCGCTCTACCCTTTATCAACATCAAATATGAAAACTATGGGACGTCATTGATATTGAGCACTGCAAAAGACTACGGCAGATTGCACTTCAGTTCTCTCATCAATACGTGTTGCGGAGTGTTGCTCGCTGCTATCAAGATGATTTCCTCTGCGTTCGTCAATCGATCCTCCGCAGCAATTAACTGAACAATGGAGGAGTTGACACCTCTAGTCTGCCTTTTTTCAACCACCAGTTTTGAAGGCTATTGAAATAACCATGACTCTGCTTAACAGATATTAAATGGAATGAGGGACTCGTGTTGAAGGAACTTCTCTCTATAATACGCACCGACCTCATGATCGGTTGTAAAATAAATGGTAAAATGAGCACTTCCCCTTTCAGGTAGAGAATTGTTTCAATTTTTAAGCAACATTAAATGAAAAAGAGACATCTTCAAAACTATCCTGTTCTTCTACAAACTCATAATAGATAGTGATGCTTTGTTCTAAGACACAATTAGAAACTTTGACAGGTTATTTTGAATAGAAAGTAAGTGTAGAGTTGTGAATTACTGCGTTGGTGCAAAGAACCTCTATGCATTGTTACCAGGAGAGATCCGCTACTCAGAATTCGATTGGATACAGAAGAGTATCTAATTCTTCTTCATCACTGCTGCCTTTGAATGTCGATAGTGGTAATGCTCATTTTTGTTCCGGTGGTGTCTGTATAGCTTATCGCTTCACTGGTGATAGATAAATGTAATGCGAAATCCAGCGATCTCTCAGTGGCGAGAAAACTTACTCTAACTCATCGAGATTGACGGTTTTGCGCTGTCTAGAATTGAAAAAAAATCACGTTTCCATAAAATTCGAGAAATCGGTTTCCAACACTTATCAGCATTGAGCCTTTGGAAAAACTGCGAGCACCAATTGTCTTTAATCGATAAGATCTATTTTATATCTGTTTTGATATGATAAATGAGCTTGTGGTGAGGAATGATGTCCTCTTCTTGTCTTCTAGTCGATACGAATTGTTATATGTTTCTCGCATGATCTTTCTGGCTACCATGGACACGGAGGTCAGGGGTGGACGTTGAAGAATACCGCTCACTGTGTAGCTGCTGGTCTTTCATCAGTCGCACAACAAAAAGCATAGAATGGTATTCCTCATATAAACTGACGTGGCAACGAACTCTTCTAATGTCTTGTCGTGCTAGTCTCTTTCCATCGACAGTAACAGGGTACGCAAAAATTCATCCAAGTACAGTAATTCCTTGATTGTAGCGTCTGCCCGCTTTCAAGAGAGTTGCCTGTGAGAGATACTTTGTTTGAATAAATAGATGACTCCCGGCCATCCCTCACCAATGCTGATCGTACTGATCGTATAAAAAGGAGCGATTGATTCTTCCCCACCGACGCGGATGAGCTCAAAAAGAGTCAACCGGCTGTAATCTTTTCGCAGTTGAATGGTATTGAGGGATGAATGTGATATGTCAGCGCTAAAATATGAGGCGCAGTTGAGATCAACGCTTGAAGAAGGGATAATGGAACAGCCAGCTATATAGTTGTAGTACCAGCTGAAATAACATTTACATAGGCGGGTGGTGTGTTCCTAAGGGACATTCCAGGATTAGCGATTCCAAGCACAGCGTACGATGAAAGTGGCTAACGGTATGAATTTCGGTGACGATGAGTGTTCACATTTCAATGATGTGGTGTTTCAGCCGTACCATTTAATTTTAGGAAACCCATTTCAGGGGACAGGGAGAAAAAGAGGTTCAAAGGATTGGATAAAAAAAATCATGCGACACCCATGATTCGCTTGTTATTTCTGTATTTTCTAGCATTAACAAGATTCGTAGCCGTGGTTACGCTTTTAATGACCAGTTCCTACCCCACATAGCCCACCATGTGGCTTTTTTCATCCCATTTATCCTATTTAGGGGCAGAGCAGGGGAGAGGAAATCGCAATTAGTCACAATCTACTCATCTTCGTTCTTTGCGGAAGCACTTATCTACTGTATCTTTCCAGGATCCAAAGGATACACCACCCAAACCTGTTATTGAAACAAAAGCGGAAAAGAAGGAAAGACGCAGGCGCGAGAAAGAAGAGCTTTTGGCGTACAAGGTAAATTCATTCTCCTCTCTCTTCTTGTGATCGATTGATACTTTTTGCAACCATTTTGCTAGTGCCCTCTATACTTTTCATTTAGGTGGAGCAGGGTATCGCGCAGTGGAATCCAGCTGAGAATCCCAATGCTACCGAAGACCCGTACAAGACTCTCTTCGTTGCCCGAATAGTTAGTTTAGGCGCTTGTACTTTTCTTTTGTTTTCCATATAACTTACCATGTCCCGTCCGATTTACTTCTGTTCAGAACTACGAGACTTCGGAGAATAAGCTAAAGCGAGAATTCGAAGCTTACGGAAAGATAAAGAAAGTAAGTTGCAATTTTCTGTGATCCTGTGACATATCACCCTCTAGACATAGGTAGTAATTATCAATTAGAGTTATTTTTTCAGCTAGCAATGATCCACGATTTGAACGGGAAGCCGCGTGGTTATGCTTTCATCGAGTATAGCGATAAATCGGAAATGTCTAGTTAGTTTTATTTTTAAATGAGTCTTACATTGACAATTGTTATATCAATGCTCCCTTGGAAACGAAGATGGGGGTGTGAGTGATGCACGATTTTCTTTGGTTAAGCGAGGCGGCTGAGAAGAAACTCAAAAAGGGAAGCGAAATCGGATGGGAGCGTTCTTCACCTGCACCGCCCATCTTCGAATCCGGTACATATCCATGTGGGGCTTTTGACCTCTAGTAAGCAAGTGGTATTGTAGGGGTTCCAGCGCTGTAAAGGTAGCCAGCCTAGGTAACTTCGCGCAAGATGTATCAAATAGTCTAGTTGTTTTTCATGGTTATTTTACGGAAAATAATTGCTGTTTTCTTACAGCACTTCGCCAGATGTTCATATTCTGCTTTTGCGCTGGTTACTGGTTGAATGAATAGGTTTGTTTGAGACGAAGTTCATTTGAATGTAATGCGTGGATGCTTTGCTAAGTTGGTAATCTGCGAAATGGGAAAACGTGTAAGGACAGAGGTTTTGTCACATTTTCGGTCGCTATTTCGCTATTACACGTTGGGTAAAAGCCGAACCGCTAGTTTCATTTGAACTTCGTCATTGAACACCGGGCGATGACGCGGATTCCTGGTAAACCTTTCGATTCATTGTACAGTTTAAGTGGACTGAAAACACCCAAAAACGGGTTCACGACTTTCCAAATGGTCGTGAGAATTTTGCGTGTAGGTAACTTTTCTAATTTTTGTCATATTCGGGTAAGCACACGGGTAAGTTTTATCTCGCTGTGCGGTACCTCGATGGCAGTGAATACTGTGCGCGCAATGTAAGTTTAGTCGGATCGTAAGTTTGCTGCGTAAGTTATTTTCTAAACAGTACAAGCTGCTGACACCGTATACCATCTTCCCCGCGAATAATTGCACGACTGTCCAACCAGGTAATGCCGCACATATTTAAAGCAGCTGACAATTTCTTCAATTTCCAGATGCTTATAAACGTGCCGATGGGACAAAAGTTGATGGACGCAGGCTAATTGTTGATTATGAGCGAGGTCGTACACAGAAATCATGGTTACCGAGAAGACTGGGTATGTTCTGATCTTCCCGCTGAACTGCCATTTTACTTAAATAGCTTTTGTGTCTGGGCCTGCTAGTTGTACGCTCGCCTTCAATATTAGTTGCCACAGTTGTTACTTCCGAGGTTGAATTTTCAATTTTAGGTGGAGGTAAAGGAGACACACGAAGAGCACGTGAATCACGCGCTGCCATTGAGGAACGTGAAGCGTTAGGTTTACCTCCTTTGGACGGAGGTCGTGATCGGGACAGAGACAGGGCCGATTCCCCTCGAGGACCACCAAAGGATAGCTACCGTGATCATGACAGGAACGGATCCTCCAGACATCGTAGTCGTTCCCGCGATCGTGGGTATGGAGGCCGCGGGGGCGATCGTGGATATGATCGAGATCGCTTCCGTGATCGTGGAAGGTAAAAATTGGCAGAGGTCAAGAGCTTTCAATAAATATGCTTAGAATATACACCTACAACTCTTGCAGAGACAACGGATATGGCCGCGATGATCGACGTAGCGGCGGATTCCGAGGACCTCCTCCTTCCTATGGTGGGCACAGAAGATAACATTTCAAAGTACATATTTGTTTTTCTGCTTTCAATATCCTTCTTACTCTCTCGGGGGCTCTCAGAAAATTACGCAGGTACTGCTGCAGTTGGTGATATACTGTAATTGTCAGTATTATCTGCTATTGCTTGTTTGTTCCGATGTTACAGACATATTTAGCTCAGTCGTTTGTTTCCATGTGTCTACAACGTGTCTATATCTTCCTTTAGCACTACTGTTTGAACAGAAGTGAATAAATACTTTTCTTACAAATCGCAGTGATGGCATTCGCTGTTCTATGTTTTAAAGTACAGTTGATTTCAGTGTATTATTATTCTATTCCTTGTTGTTCAGAATTACTGTCATTATCAGGCTTTGTTGTTACAATAAATGTTTTTGTGAGAACGGTTTGGAAGAGAAAGGTTGAGGTTGTATTACCATGGTTATGTATCGTTTATGTGAAATATGCGCCGGCGCTTGTTGTGCATTACTAACGGCCTATGAGCTTTTGGTGGGAAGCAGTGCTTGACCGAGTGTTTTTGTTTTTTGCCTTGTCTTCTTTTGTATTTTGCTTGTGGAGCTGGGAATTGATCCATCTTTCGAATCAGCTAACCTTTTTGTAGCTTGTAATCAAAAATTCTATGCCCTCGTTTTCTTTAATTTGTACCGAGAGGGCTTTGCGTTAGGGCAATCCACGTTACCATGAGATAAGTTATTGAAGCATTGGTAGTTTCGTGTTTACTGGTTGCATCGGTGCTGAAGTAGTTTGTGGGAGTAAACCATTTTGGAAGTCAACAAATTGAATAGGTTTAGCTCTAGCGTGGTAAATTGCACGATTTTTCTCCACTGTAGTTAGAGAGTAGTGGTTCGTGTTACATTGTGTGTGATGACGTCTAGTTCTATTCAGCAGTTAGTTTTGCTGTTTAGCTTTGGAGGACCTACTTGTTTCAGGCATTGAAGTGGTTTGTTTACTTGAGAAAGCCTTTGAAAACTTATAATTCGCTGATGTATACCTGGTTTGTTCACGATGTACCCTATCGGTTTAGCCCTCTAGTTGTCTAACAGTTTTGTCTTTGCGTACATCGATAGTTATGGGCTCTATACGGCAATGTCCACCATTTTGTAACCGAGTATTTTTCAATTAGACTGGAATTCTTAGTGGCACTGGCTGATCAGCATAGTCCAATATTCTCATTTTACCTATTAACAGGCGGTAGGAACTATGAAAAAAGCATTTTATAATTACCTGATACTTGCTTTGCAATAGTGGTCAGATAGACGCTGTTAACCTCGAGCAAATCGAATATCGATTTTTTTGCAATTAAGTGATTATAATATTACTTCTAACTTACTAACATTTCAATGCTTCCAACAACTTTTTCGCTGCCTCACGTTATACCATATGCTAATGACAAAAATGCTCAATGTGGCACGTTCTTGCTTTGCGTGCGCGCAACTCAATAAGATCGTTTCAAGTTGTCGCGGTTATGGAAATGTTCAAATAAAGTTACACATGAAGCTACCGTTATCGCGCCGTTCTCACGTCCATTGTAGCAATTTAGTGAATTCATTCAGCGACGAAACAGTTTTCAATAGGGAAACTGTTCCACGTTTTGCAGCTCTAGTCAGGTCTACAGTCTCTTTTACAGCGGCCATGGCCTCGTCCTTGGGAAAGCTGGGAAGGACAGCCTGCCGACTACTGGCTGCAACTAGCAGCCCGATTACACCCCAAACTAGGACTATGGTGCATAAGAGCGTTTTGAAGTACGTTTAATTAATTTTTCTTTGTTCAATGTTAGATGTGGACGCTTTTTTATTTCATTAACACATCATGGTTATGCATAACTACAGGCTCCCTGACGACTACCCAGATCCATGGCCTTACAAAGAGAAAGGGTTTCATAATATTGATGTGTTCAAAGATCGGACGCAACCTCATTTCCATCAAAACTCGAAACTTATCGTGGTCGAGGGAAATATTGGAGCCGGAAAGGTACTGAACACTATAGTCTCGAAGTGGTGCTCATGTAAAACTTCTGTATAGAACCATTTATATACCACTTTTATGCAGAAGAGTCGGCCTTTTGTGTGTTTAAGCAGTTGTACGTCTTTCTTTCCACAAAACTTATTATGGTTGTGATCATTTTAAGGAGTGATATGAAAAAACCCAGCCCAAACTGAGGTAGTACTATTTGAGAATAAGCTTTAGGGTTTGATGTTACCGGTAGCGCTTATTAGCATAGATAAACACATCGAACTCTACTTTGCCTCGGCGATTCTGATTAATTGATGACGATTAATATCGGTTTTTGGGATTTTTGAACGCGTAATCATTACGATAGAAACTGACGGCACATACTCCAACGCGCCGATATTGATCGATAATAATAAGCCTCGAAGGTTTTCCACCGTCTTTAAGACATCGCGTGACGGGAATCAAAAACGTACTTACAGGATATGGAATGGTACGTATACAAGGACGTAAGGCAGTTTTTTCTTCGGATTTCACACTATTCATTAACCATCCCTATTGTTTTAACAAAGTATACTTCGACCATGTTGTTTGAGCCCTGAGACTATTCCCTACCCGTATTTTCAGTGAAAAGTTTTATGTACGCTTCATAACTCTGAAGGTGCCCCTAGAAGTTCCCGAAAGGTTCTCGATGTAGTAACAACACCACTTAGTTTAGTCTGAAAGTCATTTTTTTTTNTTTTTTTTTCAATTTCAGAGTAGATTAGCAGCTGAGCTCGCTGATCACCTTGGACTTTATCACATGCCAGAGTTTAAAATGGAGGATATCCTTATCGATAGATATGGAAACGACCTTAGGAAATTCTATCACCTGGTGCTTATCACTTTTATCGTGGGCTCAGTGACATTTTGAAAGAAATTCTCGTGTTTAGTTCCCAGAATGCTTCCGAATGCCTGATATGGATATGTTCTATCAAAATCCTATGAGTGACATGTCTGCAAAGATGCAACAACGCATATTTGAATGTCGTTTCGATCAGTATCTGAACGCGTTGGCTCATATCATGAATACAGGTATAAATTGACTAGTTTGTTGATTCATGTGAAATCATTATTAACTTCTGACGAGCATTTTTCAAGTTTACACCAGTGGGACCTTTTTCTTTAGTTCGTATGATTAAGTTCATCCTTGCGCTGTGTACTTCTTTGCCTGAAGTTCTGCTAGTACATGGTTATTTGAAAGCACTGCTGAGAATAAGCATCATTGTTTGTAGGTCAAGGAGTGGTTCTCGAGCGAACACCATATTCAGACTTCATCTTCGCGAATGCTATGCGATCGAAAAATTACATAGGACCTGCATGTAAGCTTACTCATTAGTTTTCAAATTTATACATTATTCTTTAAATGGCTAAGTTGCTATAATTCGCTTCTCTATAAAACCAGACAAATCGTTCTGGGTTGCTCAAATTTGTGTAGTACCTCTATAGCTTCATAGGGAACTTTTAGAAAAAATGCTTTTTTTTATTCAAATCCTATTGTAATTCGTCCTCCACTGCTCGTTCTGCACTGTTGTGGTGCTGTCTGGACTTTATAATATTGACGTGAAATTTACGATATTATATTAACCACCAAGTTGTTTGGTGGCGCTCCCGAGAAGAACTCCTAAATCGTGGATAATTTCTGCGATAAAGAAATACTTGCAGGAATCTTGAGCGTGAAATAGTTCCAGTCTGAGCTGCTCTGGTTGTAGGAAAGAGTGCAAAGAAAAGGTTTTTGAAGACTCTGCAGTGCGCTTCCTAGTTTTACAGTTCAGTATTTGATATGTTAACACTCGTTTCGTTGAAAACTCTTTCACTGTGTCAATAATGCAAAACTGATATCGACCAAGCCATTGTCATAAGCAAGGGATTCAAGATCTAAAGCGCAAAAGCTACTGTCTTTTCAAGGCGCTCAGTGTTTCGAAAGTGTCTAGAAGTTGCTCTTTCTTTGCGTACTTACTGCTGCAGTGCGTGAGAAGTTAATACGAGTAGCTTTTGCTGGATTGAAAGATCCTTTCGGCCATAGAAGGCGCAAGACTTCGTTTTACCCTATATACCCAACTAAACACTTAAGACTTAAGGCATTCATCCGATGACTTCGAATTTTCATATATTTCTCCATTCTTTTCTTTTGTCCCGGGATTAACCATTCCCACTCGGTTGTCGAGCTCGTCAAAAGTTCACTTATAAATTTCTAAAGCAATAAGTAAAGAGTAACAAATTGGAGTTAGTGAAGCATAAAAAACAACAACAAGCAGACACGTCCAAAGGACAGTGCTGGAGAGAAAGTGCTTTATATTTTGACATTTCCTATTCTGTGGGATGTTTATCTCTCTGTCACAAAGAAAGTAGGGAGAATTAAAATGTCACATTTTTAATCTTTTTGCGTTCATGCATCAAAGTTTGATAACATCGGGATGAACAGAGGGCGTCCTCCGTATGCGACACATAACAACCATTGGCTAAGGGGATGTTTGGTGCATGAAGGCACTGTTCCAGAGTTCTTCCTACAGAATTCTAACGCTGAAGTAAATCCGCTCCTCGAGCTCCTCGAGAGTTTATAGGGGAATTGATTTCAGTCACAGATTGAACAACTACTCCTCTAGCAACTAAGAATGTATAGCAAGAGCAAGTGCGTTTTATTATAGAGGAAGTAATGTTCCTTGTGTGTATTAAGGGAGATCCATGATTTCAGCATTTAAAGAAACTCTGTTTCTTTCAAGATTCAACTTATAGTTATTAATAAAAGACGATTGTGCCTTAATGCATTCATTAATTCAGTTTCACAACAAATTTCAGATTTCAAGCATTACTACTACGTGCGGAAATCTGCACTTGAACAGCTACACTTTTGGCCCCATCTTGTTGTATATCTTGATACTCCTATACAAAAATGTCTAGAAAACATAAAAGCACGAGGAAATGTGAGTGGTCAACATGATGTGTTTTTGACTCTTCTTCATATTGTCACTATTTTGACCTCCACCTCATGCTGTATGCTGTTTTATATTCTTTAGCCCAACGAAATAGCTACACTGGATGAAAGTTACTTGAAGATTATTGAGGACTCTTACAAGGATTCGTTGAAGGAGTACAGGTAGCAGCATTTTTTATTATCCACTGGCAGATTCAGTTTCTTTTACTGAAAATTTTTGCTAGCGAAAAAAATTTTATTGCTCAGGAAGCATTCGAAAATTTTGGCCTATGATTGGTCGCGCCCTGGAGACGCGGACACCGTGGTAGAAGACATTGAACGATTAGATCTTGATTTCTTCGAATGGCATTCTGGAGATGTGATGGAAGAATGGAACACGGTATTAGATGAAGTTGGATGGGCTGGATGGCGAGAACAGTACGTTGCTCTTTATATTTATTGTTAGAGTTTGGTAGGTCTCCGAGGTTAGGCAGGTTCTGGTGCTTGGCCCGGCTATCCTGAACTACACAGATCAATCCTTCATAAGTTGTCCTGCACAGAAATGGTTCCAATAAATATTTGTGTCTGCTCAGCTGTAGCTCTTTGAGAAACTTCTTTCATTTATTTTCAGTTGTATTGATGGTATTTCAGTGTGACTTCGAAGTATGACGCTCGAAATTTTGCATTTGAGGGAATTGCCACTCACGAAGTTGGAGAGCTTTACATAAACCCTCGTGATGCCGGTCACTTCTTGTACGTTATGCGTAATGAGGTTGGTCAGGTTAATCCTTACTATATATAAACGGCAAACGTCCGTTTGTCTGTTTTTCTGTCTGTTTGTCTTTCCGAAAGTCACGTAGGNTCACGTGAGCGCGTTGAGGAAACAGTTATGAAATGGGAAGTCAACCGACACTATTGTTGGTACTCTAATAAATCGTAGGTAAGCGATAGTGAGTATAAGGTGCACGCGTTAGCATGCGTGCGTGAGCAACTGGTATTATAGAAAAATGGTATCTGCAATGTTCCACGTATCCAGTAGTCCATGAACATTTTTTTGAGAGTGCAGAATTAATGTTTCAATTTGTGAAACAATAGCTAAATTTGTTGATGGCCTCAGTGTTCTGTTGTCGTTGATAATGGTATTCTCGCTCTTTTAACACGACAAATTATTGATGTGAAATTGAACACAGAAGCTTCAGTTTTATCTGCCTTCTTTGTAGGTTCTGAAATCATTGAATGGTTACGGCTATATTCGCGAGAAAGGTGATCCTATAGCCGGATTGTTCAATTGGCGAAGAGATCACTATTTGCCAGAGCCGTGGTAGGTTCCCATATACTTAGTTGTTCAAAATTGCTTTACTAATGTTATTACTACTGTTTGCAATTTGATGAAGTGGATACTCGAAATTGATCGAAGTCGGGAACATTTTTATACACAATCAGAGAAGATTGATTCAGGTACGAATACTATTGGAAGGAGGCCTACTATGATGACATGGGCTCGATGGAGACGTCGCTTGATCCTCATTCGCTTGGATATGATCCCGACTATCTCCATCACCATCACTAAAGTAGATAACTAGAGACTTATTTTGTAAGATTTCTGCGAGTCGGTTTTTATCGGATCTTATCTAATAGCTGTAAATTTTTAGATTAGATTAGAGTTCGTATTCGAACAGATAAACTTTCAGAAGGGTTTATTTCCGTTATGAGCTGTAATTGCTGACAACAAAGGTATGAAGCGAGTTTTTTCTACTCTTACGGATGATATGTGGCATATGTGGTGTCGTGCGACAAAGTTTCGAAGTTTGGTACAATACTCTCGCTGAAGTTTCTTTCGATAGTTTATTAGCCGTTGAATTCTTTGGTGAATGTTCAACGGTTTGCGACGAAGATAATATCGAGGATTGAACTTCAGTAGTGTTGTTGCTTCGTTTTTTGTCAAATTGAATTAAAGGAGCTCAGACTGCTTCTGATTCCACCAAATTTACAGCAGGTTTTTGTAACAACTTGAAAATTCGAAGTGTAGGCGATGTAAGATTGGTTTAAAGCTCCTTCAGCATAGTAAATCTTACTCATTCACTATCAAAAACACGTACAATAGGGCCTTTTTACAGCCTTCGTTGTGTGAAAGAGAGGCTAGTGCTTTCCTGACATAGAGACTCAGTAGGTCAGTAGGTAACCTGCTGATGCGGAGGAATAGAAACGGAAATAGGCCGTGTGATGATCGTAAGAAAATCGTCCCGAAAACTGTAGAGTTCATCAAGAATATGTAGTACCGGGGGATGGATACGCTTCGCAGTATATACCTCTACTAGCAGGTAAAACCGTTGACCTTTACAACAAAGCGAGGTTTGGAATGGAGTAAAGAATTACGCGTTGGGAGCTGTACCTAGTCGAGAAGGAGGATTTCTGAAAGATCAGAAAAGAGGGATATAATGGAAGCTGGTCTACTAGAACCCTAATAAATGGTCCAGCAATCGTGGAAGAGCACTGTGGCGATCATATTTCAATATGCGAGAGGAAAGCTAGGAGACTTGAGTTGGACTCACAAGGAAAAATGATGCCTGGTACTGGATTGAGGAATCCAAGGGATGGTAAAGCAGAAGAAAGACGCGTACAAATTCTGGCAAAGATGCGAGCTCCGGAGGACTTGCACTTGCAAAAGGTTCGCCAAGCCTGCCGTAGCGAAAGCAAAAAAGCCTTGTCCGAGAAGCTCGATAGTTAATGGCGCCAAAAGGGCACTCAGGGCATAGGGTGATGAAGGCCGTGATGGACTGCGATAGTGGAATCCTGACGAGACCATCCTAGAGACGCTTCGTTTAGAGCCGTACTGGGCACAACATTATCACTGGCAGTTCAGGTGCTCATTTCATGATGCTGACACTTGACACTTTCTCGAGCACTAAATGGAAGGATGTTTCCTCTACGGAGAGCATATGCGTTCCAGTGCTTGTTTTGAAGGAATCTGCAAGAGATAAGGGAGGGCATAAAAAATACAAAATGCTGAAGGAAAGATGCTTTCTTAAAATAAAACATCATATACGATTGCTACTTGAACTGATGTGGGGAGTAGTATTCACTGAATGTAGTCCTTTCTATCGGGTGTTGTGCCGTGGACCTTAGGTTGCCATGACGTTCAGTTATGAATGTGAGGAATCCACCCTAGCGTCAGTCTATAGAAGTTGTGATTTGTCATTC